CACATACATACATACATACATACACATATATATAAGTCGGCAGCTGCAACATTTGGTGGAGGATAGTGCAACCACAGTAAAATCCTCACAGGAGTTTCTACAGAGGCTTAAAGCGGTGAGGATACAGGACGATGAGACTATGGTCACATTTGATGTGACATCACTATTCACATCCATCCCACAAGAACTGGCTGTCTCAACAATAAAGGATTTATTACAACTAAAGGGATTGTGAAGTCAGGGTTCCCTTAGGATGGAGGACGTTGTCGAGTTATTACAATTATGTCTGAAAACACACTTCATGTTCCAAGACACAATATATGAGCAGATTAAGGGCATGCCGATGGGATCTCCCATTTCGGGGGTCATCGCCGAGGCAGTCCTACAGTGCCTGGAGGCTAAGGCAATGGCTGACTACCAACCGGAATTTTGGGCCAGATACGTGGACAACACATTCGCCATTATCAAACGAACAAAAAAAACTGCCTTTATGGAAAGATTGAACACAATATTCCCGGACATACAATTCACGGCGGAGGAGGAAGCCAATGGCAGTTTGGCCTTCCTGGACGTGTTGGTCACACGCCAAACCAATGGTGCCCTCCACACGACGGTATATAGGAAAGCCACTCACACCGATAGGATGCTGCATTACACGAGTAACCATCCAGCAGCCTATAAGATCACATGCGTTAGGACGTTATTCGCATGCATAGACACACACTGTAACACTAAAAAGGTCAAGCAAGAGGAACGTGCCCACCTCCATCAGGTGTGTAGGTGGAATGGCTACCCGACCAGCTTCACCCGAAGATACAGCAAATGCCCAAAACCCCGCAGGGCACCGGATGACCCAGGGACAACATGCTGGACAACGATACCGTATGTCCAGGGAGTATCAGAGGCAACAGCGCGCATATTAGCACCTTATAACATCAAAGTGGCTCACCGACCCGACCAAACACTTCGGATGAAAGCGATGCATCCCAAGGAACCGCTACCAAAGGAAGAAAAGTCATCGGTCGTATACAGGGTACACTGCAAGGATTGCCAATGTAACTATACAGGGGAGATGGCCAAATGGATAAAAACCAGAATACATGAACACAGATTGGCCGTCAGAAGGCAGGAGCAGTATTCCCAAATATGGACGCATATGGTTAACAACGGGCACTCATTCGATTTCAAGGGAGCAGAAACCATCGCCCAGGATGCCTCCAAAGGAGGATGCCTGTGAAGGAGGCCTGGCTCTCCAACATGGATTCAATCAATCGATGCATAGAATTGCCCCCGGCATACCAGACATTAAAAATACACGAGGAGCAAGTCAGGATGTGGATGGCGCTTACCAGAGGCAGAACCAGAACCGAGGAAGGCAGTCATCACACGGCTATGCAAAGAAAGGATTTGGAGGGAATAGGGACGATAGGGATGGATGGTGAAATATTGGAACCATGGATGGATGGATGGGGTGAAAAGGAGGGAGGAAGTGAGCATGGTGAAGGGTCGCGGGGGGAGGTGACAATGAGGGGGCATTGGGAATGCCGGACCTGACCGTATGACCCAAAACACGTAGGACAGGGATACCAAACAAGACAGGATTAGCCAAGAGGGGGAAGGAGGGGGAAAGGGATAAAAAAGGGGGGGAGGTTGGACTTAAAGAGGAGCTGGCGGATAGTCCAACTGACCGTAGGCAGATGGGGCAGAGAGACGGGACACGATCATGCACACGCACAGCCAGGTGTGAAAGGAAATTGGGGGAGATAAGGCTAACAAGGACGAGAGGGACTGAGCCTAGGAGCAAGCCGATAGGCATCCCCACTGGTTGTGGGCAGACGGAGCAGAAGAATGAGGCACGATGGAGCGTGCACACACCCGGGGGTGGAGGGAAATCGGAGAAAAAAAGACTGACAGGAATGGATGACGGAAGGCAGGAACAGCATGTAGACCAACGGGCTAGAAAGGAAGGGAGCGCTGATGGCAAGCCTTTTGGAATACTGGGTCTGAATGCGCAGCCTAGAATGAGTAGGAGAGAGCGATTAGAGAGCACACCGGCAGCAATGGTGCTGGGAGGGAGGAGATTGACAAGTATGAGAGAGAGGAAAAGTGTGGAATTGGAGTGCAAAAAAGAGAAGGCGGGACAACCAAGGCAATTACAGTTAATCAGGAAGGATGGCCCTATCACACGGGCAATGAGTAAGCAGTTAGACCAGCAAGGTGTATAAAAAGAATCTCTCCACCCCCTGAGCTTCACTCTGAGGACGCTGGCAGGGGACCAGCGAAAGCTAAGTTGTTTCTTTTAACATTGTAAATAGTTGTTTTTATTGTTTTTAAATATCTTTTTAGCAATAAACAACTGGTTTATACCTCTCCCGGAGATCGAAGGTTGTGTTTTTGAATATATATATATATTCAATATATATTCAATATACAATATATATACATATGTTGTATATAGTATGTTTAAATGTGTGTTAGGTATGTGTACACTTTGAGAGCAAGCAACTAAATTTCATTTTTAATGTGCGCCATTGTGCCCACAGTAAAAAATGACAATAAAGGTTATCTATCTATCTAACCAAGGAGAGCCCTGGTTAGCTTTCAAAATCAGCCAGGTTTTGTAGTTGTTATTACTGACCAGAGAAGGCTCAATTAATTATGCTCACAGTAATCACTCAATGCATTTATCCACACAATACACTGAACAGTATTTCTGTTCTATTTATCCCTTTATCATCAGTTGTCCAGAGGGAGGAAACGAGATGCAATGGCTAAGAGACAGAGCTAGCTAAGATCCTTTTCTCCATCACTGATCACCAAATGCCTATGAGGCAAAAAAAAGAAAAGAAAAGAAGAGAAGGCGTGTTTGGTAGAGGAAGATAATACTAGTAAAATTCACTGAATCTGAAGATTACAAGGAACCTCAATAATTATCCAATTATCCATCCATCCACTCAGGAAATCTTCTACAGCATTCATAGTAAATGATTGCCCTGTTTTTGTTTAAAAGCATTTAATGAAAG